GACACTTTCCAGTCCCTAATATCCTGAGCTGAGTTAAGCGTGCCCAGTGCTACGTCGATAACCTCTTCTCTGACACTATTGCTGAAAGTAGGCGTGTTACCGACATTCAGAACCTCAAGGTTCGATGCCCCTAGGAACTCCATGAGGTAAATGGTAAATGCAAATTCTTCAAGTTGCCATGTGTTAATACAAGTCATTACGCAAGCTCTGGGCTTAGTGTCCGGAGTATCGCTAAAAAGCGTATAGCCAGGTACACTGAGCCCGTTTACTGAACCGTTTCTCAGCCAGGGGTGCTGGATGAGAACCACGTTATGTCGGCTCCGAGTGATCTCCTGAGTAAGGGCCCTTGAAGCCGCTATGCAGTGCAGTTAATTTGAATGAAGTTAAGACTTACCATGGGTGTTGAGAGGCTCCTCCTACACCTTCCCGAATGACGGTATATGTCCCCTAATTGGGCGTACGGCCGTCGCCGCCGTAGTCTTCACTGCCGCAGCCGCCTTCATCTCTGCTTCCACGGAGGAGTCCTCGGATTCGGTTCAAAATTCCTTCCTCGAACGAGTCGCTATCATTGCCCACTGGGGCCCGCTCCGTCGGCGGGCCCGCCGCGATGTTTTCTTGCGGATATCCCGCTAGGACCCGCCGCCTGCTCATCCGTGACCTCCGGTGGTTCCAACGAGAACTGCCCCGGATAACTCATCCCCTGTGAAAGGAGCCGGGTCTACGGCCACAGCTCCCGTCAGTCTGGACTGGTCCGACTCCTGGCTTGGAGCCAGGCCAGTTCCAGCAGGTGTCGCCCCGATGTTTTTCTTCTTGCTCAGGAGTGTAAACACCCCCGAACCGCAACCAGCCTTTTGCCGTTACCTTCGATGATCTTCCAGCTTATGGAATCCACTGAGAAGACAAGTCGGACGCCTTTGTGTTCCTCCTTTCTCACTAGTAGCCTCCACGCGCTGGGAAAAGTTCCAGGATTGTGAATCCTGAGTCTCCTCATGATGACCTCATTTCCCAGGTTGGGACCCTGGAACCAGGCCATCACGCGGTGGTGTATGGGAAGTTCTCCAAAGCTCATCGTAATGAGCCTTGCGCCTTCACACGGCCGCAGATCCCCCACCACGTGGGCCTTCAACCATGCCCTAGAGGCCTCGTCCTCGCAGACAAATTAAGTTTTATGCCATTCTTTGCCAACTCGCACAAGGTAGCCCTTATTTCCATTAAGATTTCACTATTGAAATATTTGATAGCTGACCCTTCTAAGCTCTTAAGCACCGACTGAGAATCTGAAATCATGGCTACACTGGTAAGCTCTTTTATATTAGTCTTCATCCAGTAGTACAGATTTTATAGCTAAAGATTCCGCGGTGAAAGATTGAACAGATTTCCGGGATACAAAACCGGCGAATGATATTATGAAATGGACTAAAGATAAAGTATGCATATCCAGTGCCATTTGAACTTTTAGATCCGTCTATATAGATACAGGGTGTTTCAGTTTATTGTTGCATAACTTTAAGATTCGATAGAACTTTTAAAATTAATGCATAAAGTCTATACAGGGTTATCCAAATTAAGTGTCCACCATTAGTAACTTTGTTATTAGTGAAAATACAAAGTTGTTTGAATTAGCAAACTAGTAGCATTTTTAACGCTGGTAAAAATGAGAAATAAAAAAAAACAGTTGAGAGTCGTTATTTTTCAGTAAAATAACATTTTTTTAAATGGAAACCCCTGTATATTATATTTTTTTCTGTTAAAGCATCAAATTTTAAACAAAAAAGCTTACAATAACTTTTCTCCTAGGTTACAAATTGTTGAAGTTATGGCCTCCAATCTGAAACAATTAAATTGTATCGACAAACTTTATTTTCAACATCAACTTATAATCTTACAAAATACAATAACAATTTTTTTTAAAGAAGATGCTCGAAAACACCACCTTGTTCTTCAATACATTTTTGGGCACGTTTTTCAACTGCTCGAACTGTCTTAAGTATGGTCCTACCATCTATCTGGGTTATCTTTTCCCTAACTGCAGTCTTTAACGCGTCAAGGTTATCGTACCTTCGCTTGTAAATTTGGTTCTTTAAGTAACCCCACAAGAAGTAATCAAGTGGATTTAGATCTGGTGATCTGGGAGGCCACTGTATTGGGCCATTTGTTCCTATCCACTGATCATTAAAAGTAGTACTTAGAAAATGATAAGTACCTCTGGAGTTGTGGGCAGGTGCGCCATCTTGCTGAAAATGCAGATGATGTCTACTTATAAGATCCAATTCGTCTAAGAAATTAGTCAGAATTTCTGACATAAATTCCACATATCTTTCACCAGTTAGGGTTCCCTCATAAAAGAACGGGCCAACAATTTTTGAACCAATTATACCGCACCAAACGTTGAAACTGAAACGGACTTGTGGGCCTCTTGGATGTACTAACAAAAGATTTTCTCTTGACCAATAATGGTGGTTTTTTCTATTAAACATTCCAGAATTTGAAAAATTTGATTCATCTGTCCATAAAAGGTAACGAAAGTTATTTACATTTTGGCGACAGATGCTAAGATACCAATGGCAAAAAACAAGTCTTCTCTCTGGATCCCCTGCCAAAAGCGTTTGAACTGGTCGGTACTTATACGGAATAAATTTGTATTTTTTTAAAATCCTTTGAACAGTACCATAACTGAAATTAGAGTCCTTGAGAATATCTGCTATTGAATTCTCACGATAAGCTTCAAAATATCCAATAACTGCAATTTCCGTGGCCTCGCTTATTATGAATTCTTTTTTTGCCCTTGTTTTAGCAAAAACATTTTCGTTGCCCCTAAATTTTCGATAAAGTCTCAGAAAATATCGTTCATACGGTTGAATGCGAGCGGGATATAATTCACTGTAGTATTCTCTTGCTCTCAAGGAGGATTTTCTGCACACTAAATAGCATTCTAACATATCACACTTTTCTTCATGGGAGAACATTTTTCTTTAAATTAATGACACAATAAAGCTTATAAACAAGTATTTACACTAATGTTTGACATTATTTGATTTTATCATTGTTTTCCAAAGCCTTCTAGTTGCGAGTATGTCCAGTTTAACAATTTGTCGCTTATCTTAATGCTGTCAAATCGCGAACGCCATGTTGTTTTCATAGCCGTCTTAATATTATAATACTGCAAATAATTAAAAATATTTATCGTTATTTTGACTTTATTTTTGACTTTAGCGGAAAAGTCATTATGAACTTTTTTGTTTAAAATTTGATGCTTTAACAGAAAAAAATATAATATACAGGGGTTTCCATTTAAAAAAATGTTATTTTACTGAAAAAAATCAAAATAACGACTCTCAATTGTTTTTTTTTATTTCTCATTTTTACCAGCGTTAAAAATGCTACTAGTTTGCTAATTTAAACAACTTTGTATTTTTACTAATAACAAAGTTACCAATGGTGGACACTTAATTTGGATAACCCTGTATAAACATGGGTCGAAAAATGCGTGGCTTCCGAAATACAGGGTGTTTAAATTTACTTTCTAAAATAGTTTTTTCAAAAAATTTCGAACAATATTTGATGTATAATAGTGAAAATTGGTATACAAGGGTTTTTTGGTACGACAAAACGAACCATGGGCACATTTTTACTGTAGCCGTTAGAGGGCGCTCTCTACTGTACCTGTAGTGAATTAAAATGACCGAAAAATTTTTCTTAGTGCAATTTTTTGAATAAAAAAATGATTCTTCGCACTTTTCAACATAAAAAAGGTCTCTTGTGAATTTTCGTTATAGTTAGCCGTTTTTGAGATATTTCGATTTTTAAGGTTCGATGCATTTTTAATTATTTATGATAAAATAACGTTAAAAAGTCAGTATCTGGATAATTTTTAGAAGTAGGCTGTGCCTGCAAATATTTTTGAAATTGAAAGCAGAATAAGGTTAAACGTCAAGTAGTTGACAGTTAGTTTTGTTGTCTGTTGAAACCTGAAACGTTTTTTTGCAATTGTGAATGCACGAAATTTAGTTTCTTTTACCTGTTTTTTTTTGTAAGTTTTATAAAAATGCCATTTTTATTCTCCAATCAAGAGTTAGCGGATATTCATTTTGTGTATGGCTTTGTAAATGGAAACGCAGCAGAAGCAGCCAGATAATACGCACGAAGATTCCCAAACAGACGACATCCAACTCGCTCAGTATTTGTAAGAGTGCATCGCCAAATAATTGAAAATGGTTTTGGAAATCTCCAAAGGGATCAAAACATAAATGTTCGTCAGCGCAGATTTACCCGTATGATTCTGCGTGAGTTTGATGGCGATCCGACCACAACTGTTAGGAGAGTTTCTGGTGCCTTGGTAATTTCATGTTCAGCGTGTTCTTAGAAATGACCAAACTGTCAACTTTAATTTCATTGATTAATTGTAGATTCTGTTTTATTGCGTTCACAAAACTAGTCATTTTATTGAGTTCACAAAACTAGTCAAATGGTGTATTAAGTTATCTTTAAATTCAATGAACGTATAGCGTTGAGGACTTCGGATAAATGGAGCTATAGCTTTTTTCTTTTGGACGTTGTGAAGCGGAGTGGCATTGTGGTGGTATTAGAAGAGTTAGGAGGGGTTGTAAGAGGAGACAATGCTTTTCGTTTGTGACAAACTTTGTCTCTTAGGTTTTGATACGAAACTAACTGTCTAAGTTATCCAAAACAGCAAATCTGTTGTTTGTTACTATTTGGGCATATGATGGGTCATCTAGAGGAGAGGAACCAAATTTGAGATACTTTTTTTGTGAAGGGAAAATAAAATACTTTTTGTTTTAAACAAGGTTATATATTTAAATAAACTTGCGATTTTATGCTCCTAGCATACTCTAAACTAAAAAAAATAACTATAAATGTTTTCTTTTACAGGCGAAAAGTGTATTTAAATAAAAGTAAACATTTTTGTAGATTTACAGCTGGTTCCCTAATTTGAGATAGATAGTTATCCAAATTTGAGATAGGTACCCTTATTTAAGATACTATTCGAAAAACCCCTTCCCTTCACAGAAAGTGCAAATGAAAATTTTATTGGCAATCTCTCCACAATCTTCATGTGCCCATCTACTACAATGGCTGCATTTGGCCCATTTTTCGCCCTTCTTATCTTCAGAAAATCGACCCGTACAAAATAAGAATTCAGCATCGCTTCCACCGCTTTCGTCTGAGGATAAATCATCCAACTTAAGGCTTCCGCTAGTTTCTGAACTTGAACTGGAGTGGGAAGGTATCCGAATCCTTTTGGACCTTTTAGCACTAGATGTAGAAGGCTGGTTCTGGTTGATTGACCTATTAGCTCCAGATGTGGAGGGTTGATTTTGTGTGGAGATGCTATTTTGGTTTAAATTAGCATCCAATTTTTTTTTGGGAATTGCTTTCATCTGTCTTTTCTCTAAGCTTGCCTGCAACTCTTTCTTATATGGCGTGTGAGTAATGACTACTGCCTTTCCTGATCTTCTGCTCACTGTATTTTGTTTTTTATATGAGGGCAAAGGACAAATATCGGTTGGAGAGACTAATTTAAATTGTATTTGTTGTTCTAAATTCGGGCTAGGTGTTCGTTGTTGCACTCTAAATTCTACAGTGTCTACGAAATTAGTGATGCTTGCAATTTCGTTTGCGATAGAAGTACTTGCATCTTGATTCACTAGATTATCACCTGTGAAATCAGCAGAAGTAGCCGCATTCTCATGTATTTGCTGTGCTGTATCATCACCTTGATGGTCTACTTCACAGGGATCTACGGTGTCAATCCGATCTTCCACCCGATGAACGCTAAAATCGGAATCTCTAAAAATATTTCTGTTGATAGGCACCAGTCCTGTTTTCCGAAATCCATTACAGGAGGTTTCCATTGTAGCAGCTCGATTGTAAGCTTTGCAAAAAATGCTAGAAATTGCATATGGGGAAACAGTACTTAGCTGATTCTCTCGAAGCCAATTCTCTATTTCCTGTGCATAGAAAGTCTTTAATGGTGACATAAACGAGACATCTAATGGTTGCATCTTGTTTGTTGAGTGTGGTGGAAGACATATTATTGCCACATGATTTTGTTTTGCTAAATCTATCAGGTCAATGTTCCTTGTGTGAGAATAATGACCATCTAATACTAAAAGAACTGGATCAGAAGCAGTAGGCTTTGTAAATTTTATAAAGTGATCTAACCATCGGGTAAAAATATCTGCCTGTACCCAACCTGATATATGGCATTCCGCAATTGCTCCATTTGGGGCTCCTAACATTAGCTCTGTTTTCATATTTTTTCTGGGGAAGATTAACAGTGGTGGTACATACACGCCTGAAGCGTTCATACAAGTAATTACTGTGACCAATTTACCCCTCTCTGCTGAAGTAAGTGATGCAATCTGCTTCTTTCCTCTAAGAGAGAGAACCTTAGTGTGCTTATGTTGAACCACAGTAATACCCGTTTCGTCTACATTGAATATCCTGTGAAAAGGATTTAGAATTTTGTTATATTCGGCCTCATATAGGTCAAAAAAGCTTGAGACTTTCTCAGGGGTGAAAGACTTTATACGAGCAGCTGACATGCCTTGTGGCGTTCTCATGGATAGCTGAGGATGTCTTTTTAGAAATAGTCGTAGCCATTTCTTTCCTGCTGATCTTTTAAGTCCATTAAAAGGATGAGATATGCTATTTCGTAACGCAAGCTGGAATGCCAAACGCTTTATATCACGCGCACGTAAGCCAAAAAATCGCTCTTCCATAGCTAATGCATATTGTACTAACTGATTTTCAAGTTCAGGGGAAAGAATAGTCTTGCGACCAATTGGTGTGTCTACAAGTTCTCTTGGATCCTTACCGGATTTAACATATCTTTCTACGGTCCCTTTAGGTACTCCAAAAACTTTTGCGGCTTTCAAATAACCCATCTCCTTATTCTTTACAGCTTCGATGGCCTTTATCATGTCATTTGGGTTCCACTTTTTGTGTTTCGGTGGCATCTGCAATATAAAAAAAATAAAAGATAATCTCTTGATACAGGGCCCTTATTTGAGATAGTCTCAAATTAGGAACACTTGGGTATCTCAAATTAGGAATTTTCCGTTAAGAAGTTCAAACAAGCATATTTAGGTTATGTAATAAAATAAAATCACAATATTGAAAAAGAAAATAAATAAGGTATTTGTAAGCTACTAAATTTATATCAGACAAGTGTTCTAAGTATCTTACCTCACTTTTAGTAGGTAATCACTTTTCTCGCACTATTAAAAATATTTTCGACTCTGAACAAGCAACAAGTTGTGATGTCTCAGCAAACCATGTGCAAAACTAGACTGTAAACACATCTAGAATACTACTGCGTCTTAGTTCAACACTTTTTGGTATTACTAGAAGATGGCGCTACATAGATTCAAAGTTACACCACTGTCTCAAATTAGGCGCCTGTCTCAAATTTGGTTCCTCTCCTCTACTAATGACTCAGCGTCTTTGAAAGAAATATTATTATTCGCCATCATCTTTTTAATGCTTTATTGTTTTTTATAAGCGGGGCAGTTTCTCGAGACCGTAGCGTGCTCTGTACTATGATAATGGGTGCAAAAGAATTCAAAAGTGCATTGGTCATCATTGTGATCTCCACTAAATTTTTGACAACGACGTTTACCATTACAAATCTTTGCTATATGTCCAAATCTCAAGCAGTTTAGACACTGGACAACAGGGTATATATATATATATATACAATGTGTTTGGTCACGATATACCGATATTTAAGGGGGATATTTTTCAGCTATTTTTATCGACAAATCCACCCCCTACAATGTCATACTTCAAGCCCCTTGAAATGGATCCATACCGCTCCGAACGAAATTAGGGCTGACACGGATATGGTCTGCCCCTCGACACATTGTTTTAAGAACGATAATGTGCATAACCAATAATGGAGGACATTTTGAACAGCTTCTGTAACATTAAACATGTCCAAACTCTCTATAAGAAACATTGATTTGTCAGTTTAAAAACAATTTGCATTTTATTACACCCATTTTGACCCATGTTAGATAGCATTTATTGCTCAATGTAGAATACTTAGGATAACACACAGCTGTGGAATTAGCATAAAAAAGTACAACTTCACAGACTAGTTTTTGAATAGTGTGCGGAAATGCACAAAATAATCAATTTTCTTCCATATTTTTTTCTGTTTTTGTTTTTAAGTATGTTTGACGGTTATTATCAAAACAATTTTTTCAATAGTCGCTAGGACAACATTTCATCGTTCAAATGACATCAAATTTATCATTCTGTGACAATTACGTACTCAGTTATTACAATTTTCATACATGCACTACCGTAATCGTAACGTAAAAATAAAAATGGCTGCCATTTCAAGGGGGATGCGGCAGCACATTGTAGGGGGGTGGATTTGTCGATAAAAATAGCTGAAAAACACTCCTCTTAAATATCGGTATGTCGTGACCAAACACATTGTATATATATGGTTCTACTTCAAAAACACACATGTTGATTCGAATGGTTTGTGGGAAATTGTTCCCCAGAAAGGTGACAATTATCATATGTCTATCTACGTATTTTACAGTACCATCTGAATTAGTTATTTTCCTTTTCATACGTTTCACTTCGGTAATTTTAAGATTAGATACAATATTTTCCTTCAAAAATTCTTCCGTAAAGTACGTGTCAACCATTCTTACCACACCTTTTTTGTGGTTGAAAAAGATTGGAATGTATGCTACTAGGATATTATTGGTTATACATTGATGGTTGATAATCGAGTTTGCGATTGAAAATGTTTTGAATATCACTTTGACCCTTGTCTTTCCTATTGCTTTTATACCTGTAATGTCTCTCCTGAATTCTGGCTCTTGTTGGAGGTAGTGGACAACCCTTATGGGGTCTTCCAATGTTTTTTGTTTTATGTTCGACATATACGAAAAATGGGCTTGTATCTGTAGTTGTATAAGTATTCTTGAAATCGAATCTAGAAAGATCAATTTCTCTTTATTGGTAACCCTATCACTTACCGGAGGGGGCGGCTCTCCAGAGAGTCTCGCCAATATGACTTTGTATATTATGACAAAAATATAATAGAAAATAACTCTAATCTTTATGAGAGTCACAACACATAGATTGGGGACCACTTTTTCTTAGTTCACACAAAAAGAGGTCAGTCTATGACGAGCGTTCACTCACGACTATTTTAGGTCTGAGCCTTCGGCTTGACCCTTGGCAATTGCAACTTACCTTTTACCCTCGCTATCCCACGTATAGAGCCCCGTTTTTAGTCCATATCCAAATGTGCTCTCTGGGGTCCGTCTAGCGTGCGCGCGGTTACACGGTAGAGCACCCCACTCGCGAGTACGCAATCTCGTGTGCAATAGTGTCGAACTGGTGAAGCAGTAAGTACCTAATTGTCATTTTATATTGTGGTTCATACATTTTTTAGGTGTGACTGTGTCACAGCCGATAGCGGAATATTTTTCATACAATTTTGTTACATAAGTTCCTCTCAGGATAGTATTTCAAGATCTGTGTCAGATGAACTTGCTGCAACTGACATGCGGCAGGAGGGCAGATGTTATCAGTGGTACGAGGGACCTAGTTAAATGACTAACTTGCTAAAGCAGATCCCCCTTCACAACCCACTTATTCGATGAAGGAAAATTAATAGAAACGATCAAAAGTCATGGAGGATATTATAACTTTTTTCCAAAGAGAGTACCCTATCTTCCGTATCCAAAGCCGAAAAATAGGCAAAGGCCAGCGAATCGAATAGGGTCACGTAGTACGGGCTCCAGTACGCAAGCAGTCCTAAAGCAGGGAAGGAAAATGCAAAGAAACATCGTAGGACTGTCTGAACCGTCCAAAGAGAAGAAAGCCCGGAAGCACTTTTGGCAGTTTTCAGGCTGGCCAGCTGAGGACGTTTGTCAAAGAATGGCAATTACTACAAGCTCCAAAATTTATTTTAAACTCCATAAAGGGGTACAAAATTAATCTTGCTTCACAACCGCCATTGATCAGGTTGAACGCCCGTATACCGCCGGCGCTGCAAACACAACAGTCCCAGGATATGGACAAAGAAATAACAAAACTATTAGCAAGTCGATCTATCGAGACATCAACTTATCAAACCGGCTTCATATCTCCCATTTTTCTGGTACCCAAAGAAGAAGGGAAGATGAGGCCCGTCGTGAACTTGAAACGCCTAAACATGTTTTTGAGCCCAAAGGCCTTTCGGCTTATCAACCTTCAGCGGATTCCCAGTTTTATTCAACAAAACGATTATTTGACGAAGATCGACTTGCAAAATGCCTATTTCCACATTCCAATCCACGAGGGACATCGCAGGTCTTTGTCCCTCTCATACATACAAAAAATCTCTCAAAGACAAGGTCGCCAATCTCCAAACCAGTTCTGAAAGACCTCCAGTGGTGGTTGATGCATGTAGAGCAGCCTTCACCAGCGTGGATTACGAAGAAGATGAGCTACTTGACAACAGACGCGTCCGACTGGGGCTGGGGAGCAACCCTGAACGAGTACACAATCTCAGGAACGTGGACCGAGAGCCAACGATACTGGCACTGCAACTGCAAAAAACTTTGGGCAGTTCTCGATGCAATCAAGAGAAACACAATGGTACTCAGGAACCAGATTGTACTGCTGTAGGTGGGCAACCGCACGGTAATAGCTTATGTCAGAAAGTAAGGGGGGACGAAGTCGATCAAGCTGCTGCAGCTGACAAAAGAATTACTCGAAACTTGTTCCAAATTCAACATCACGCTGCAACCTCAGTATATTCCAGGAAAATACAATGGGACGGCCGATCACCTTTCCAGGGGCCGCCCTCTTCCAGACTGGTCTCTGTCGAATAAAATCACACAGATTACAATGCTCACTACATAAATGCATTCAGCAGACAATGGACATACCAGTTGGCGTTGATATTTCCACCACCGGCTCTTATCCCGAGAGTCCTGACCTATCTTTACTCGGCATCGGGGCTCAACATCCTGATAGCGCCAAACTGAGAAAATGTGTTTTGGCGTCCAGATCTTCAGAGAAGGGCACTAGAAGGGCCAATAGTGATTCTCAACTTGTCGATGAATCTCCGGGACCTGGTAACGGGAAACCCACCTCCCAGGTGCGACGACTTGAAATTGGAGGTATGGAAGGTTCAGGGTGGTCATAGCAAAACGCTGATTGGAAAAGAGAGGACTTAGACCTTCTAGTATCTTCATGGAGGAGCTTCACACTGAAGTCGTATAGAAGTGCATGG